TTAGGAATTATATATTTTTTAATTATTTTAATCAGTGTATATTAATTAATTATTATTAAGAACTTTATATTTGATTTATTTAAATCTTAACATATCATTGCCACTTTTATTTTAAGAGTATTTTTTTGAATATATATTTCTTTTTCACTGGTGGGCATTAAAGGTGGTTTTTAAAGTAATATAACAATTTATGTTCAATGAAAATCTTGGCAGAAGAGTCAATGATCTTCTACTTCTAATTATTATTTAAATTCTGCTTGACATCCTATATGGACAAACCCTTAACCCTTACACCATCATGCAATATAATGTGATGATATCATCAAAATATATATTTTGATGATATCATCAAAAAAAATGTTTCAAAAATAGAAAAAAAAAAAAAAAAAAAGATTTTGAAAATAGTAAACATGACCTTGTAAAATTCATATTTTACATTTATAACGAGTTCAATTTAATAATTAATACTAATTATCTTTATAAATAAACTGCATAGCAAAGTAAAGTAACTATGACAAAGTCTCAGCAAAAACAAAAACAAATATTTAATTACAAAAGAATATCGATTGCAAGCGAATCTTTGTGAAGAAGAATACCAATAATTATTTTTTCATTTATAGTCATAAAATGTTTATTATGACCAAAAAAAAATTAAATTTATGCCGTAACACAAAATAAAAATGATTGTAGTAAAAGAAAAAAAAAAAAAAAAAAAAAAAAACTTTTTTCTTTCTTTCTAAAATTATGTTTGCTTGTCCAAATAATATAAGATTTTAAATAAACACATTATTTAGGTGAAATGAACAGCATAGTTTAATAATATGATCTGTTTTGATCATTTATTTGCAATTTTTCTTATCATACTTCTTGAGCTAGGATCTATAGTGAATTAAGGCACTTTTTCAAAACTTTTTTACTAAAAATAAGTTAACACTGTTGAGCAGAATTGATCTAAAGACTCAAAAATGGTGTTCTTTAGATTCAAAAAAGGAGTAATAAATAAGTTTTGAAAAACGTATAAAAAAGAAAAAAAGTTTCTTTAAATATTTTAAAAACTTGAAGCAAAAAAAATATATAAATTATTCTCTTTATATAAGCTCTTGTTTGGACATAATATGCTGACAAAATCATGCTAATTTCAAATAAAAGAATTCAAAAATTTATTAATCACCTTAAATACACCGAGTTGTTAAATAAATTTCAAGTATTAGTTTGTAATAATCATAAAACTTTTTTTGTATTTAACATATATTTCAGAGCTTTTTAAAAATATTAGTCGAGAAATGATAGTAAATAAGTAAAAAAAGATTATAGTCGATGCGATCACCTAATTCAGTTGGTATAAAATACCAAACAAAAAAGAAAAAACAATAACTAAGAACTTACCATAATATACCGTAATATAAATGGCTTCTCAATATTTTGAATAAACTTTGTTAATGAAGCACACATACTACTTGAAGTAGAGTTTGCAGTAAGACTTAATAAGTTATTTGAAAAGCCAAAACAGACAAAATTTTTAAAGAAATAGCATTTGCGGGTGTTAAATCAAACAAACTTGTAAATTTTTTAGATTGTATTTATTTTTTTATTTTTTTTTTCTTACTATCTTTATTTCTTGCTTATTTTTTTAGATAATATTTGCTGACGTTGGAAGGCATTGCAAAGAATTATTTGCAAACATAGAGAAGTGAATTTTACACGCAAGTTGTTGAGAAAATCCCTAAAATTGTTGGGAAAATCCTTATTTTCAAGAAGTTTTTTCACATTTTCACAATTATGCGATTGGGTAGTTATACTAATAACGGCGGTTATATTTCAAGTTTCACACAATTAATAAATTAGTAAAATTAATAAAAGCAATCTGACGTCATACTGAAATAGCCAGCTGCCCCCAGCAGCCGGCTATTTCAGTATGACGTCAGATTGCTTACCAAAGTACGCAATACTATTTGTATATATATATATATATATATATATATATATATATATATATATATATATCTTCAAGATAAAAATAAGATTTCAGATTTTCAGTATTTTGAAGATACAAGATTTAGTTATCTTAAGATTTTTTTAATGCATCAAAATTAAGATGAATGTCAAAAGAAATAACAAAAATTGCCAACATTTTAACAATGTCATTTCTAATAATGTCTATTCATCATTCACATTCAAATTCAGAAGTTCCAATAGTAAATAATTATGATAGTAGTTCAAACTCCCTCTAATGATGTAATGATGTAAAGCAAAACCTCGACAACTGGTCAGCAGAAAGTTTGAAGTACTGGTGACATAACTGAAACAAAGTTAGATACAAAAATATCATATAGTTCTTTGGATTTGTGTGTCCATGAGATCAGTCTACTCTTTCAGTGAAAGGTGTAAGGTCACAGTTTTCTTTGTTCAAGAATGCCAACTCTTGTTCCTTAAAATATGGCACATCAAGAGCATTACAGAGTGCTTCCAGCTTGTCGGTACTGTGCCACAAAATACTGCAATGAGAATCATAGTCACTGTTCCATTTTGTAGTAACTGGAGTCATTACTTGGCACCCTAAAACATCTGATAATATTTTGTTGGATTGCTGTCTGTTCACCTTATTCCATATTGCTGATAATTTGCCATTGCTAGAATGAAGTAGTAAGTGATATCTTGCATTCACTTAAAAAGTTACTGTTGGTGCATTACTACCAACCAGATTTAATGTATGAGCAGCACAACTCTGATGAGCTGGCAAGACAACTGGTTCATCATCAATTTTATTGCCTGATTTGCTTTAGTACTATTCGGTGACTTGATTTCCCAGTATCTGTTTTTCTCCATCTAATAATTTGTTGTACATGCATTTGCTGCCAAAGTCTGTTTGAGGAACATGACCAACATTCAGTAATTCAAGGAGATTAATCGAAACTACTTCTGTAGAACCATTATCATTCTCCTGGTCATTCTTGGTGTCATCAAGATGAAATTGGAACTCACAAAAGGCTTTCACAAAATTGCTACTGCCGTCAGTGCTAAAGTGATATCACTTTATCCACAGGAACGGTCATTCTTTCATAATATTGGACAATAATTTACCAATGCGGTCATAGGTATGTGATCCATAAAACAATTTACACACAAGAGCAAATGACTGTCGCTTCAGATCATCAGTAAGCCCATGACCCATGATACCCATGAAGTTTCTCCTGTTTTTAAAACCAGTCCATACATCAGTAGTCAAATTAATAGAGCTCTTGGAATGAAAGACATCTTCAACTTCATCTTCTAAGTTTCTTCATGAACATGTCTACTCAGTGTTCAATGGGAACATACATTTATGTGTGGGACTTTGTACTATTGCTAGAAAACTTGGCTATTTATTGTGTGATATTGGACTATATTGAATCAACAATATACCTTAAGATCAACATATCAGCCTCCTTCTAAGATATTGAATTGTTTTTATTAATAGCTTCATGCATTGCTATCTGCTTGAATTTTGGGCGCTTTGCATTTCTATTATAAGAATTCAAGGCTCGCATTTTATTATTTTTCTGATTCTATGCAGCAGTGATCCTTGTATTCCTGATATGATGGCAGTAGATATCAATGTCATTTCTATTGCTTCTTTGTTTTTAAATATTAAATATTTTATTTGTGAATTTCCATTATTATAAATAATTTAAATATTAAATTACTTGAATTAATTGATGTATTTTTTGAATAGCATTGCTACTCAAAAAACATATCAATTAAGTAATTTATGTTGCTATTATAGCAACATATTATAGCACGACAGAGTCTGAATGCTAGGCTGTGTTGAATTACTAAAATTTGGCATACTGCAATCACTATCTCTTGTTGCAGTTGATGTATTTGTATCATTTGTTGCTACTGAAGTCTTATCTTTAAATTTTTATTATAAAATATATCAGAAATGATAATATCAGTAAGAATTAAAAACTATTAACATATATTTTGCCTGCGTAGTAAACCTGTGTGGTTTAATGCAAATGGCCCACATACACAGTGACATTTTTCTGAAAATTGATAAGTAAAACTGCAACTAATAAAAAACTAATAAAATCTTACACTACCTTACATTGTGCTTTGAGATTTCAAAGATCTTAAAACTGAATTGAAAATTCAGAAAAGAATTGAAAAACTAAATTGAAAATTTAAAACTGAATTGAAAATTCAAAAAACTAGAAGTTTATGTAAACAATAACAAATCTAATGTGACGAATATTCCAAAAGATATAAGTGATCTTAAAATACAAGATAAGATAATATCTTCTATCTTCAAGAGTATATATATGCACAACACTGATATATTTATATATATATATATATATATATATATATATATATATATATATATATATATATATATATATATATATATATATATATATATATATATATATATATATATATATATATATATGTGTGTGTGTGTGTGTGTATAACTAAAATTAATCAAAAACAAAAAAATTTAAATGAAACTAGAGAAGAAAAAATGTTTTATTTTTAAAATAAGTCAAAAAATGAAGAGGAAGAGAGGAAAAGGTAAAATCATGTTTGACTTTAAAATAAAACAAGAAAGAAAAAGAAAGAATAGGGAAAAGAGTAAAACCATGTTTTATTTTAAAATGAAACAAGGGAGGGAAGAAAATAGTGAGAGAAGGTAAAGTTTACAGTAAACAGTAATTACAGTAATACAGTAAAAGTAAAGTCTTTAAAAAATTTATATATTTTTTTTCAAAATTTATTTTTATTTTCCAATATTTGAATACTTAAGATTTGAATACACCAAGTTATAAAACTAACTTGTAAAACCTAAATTTTGTAATTTAGAATGTAAAATTTTTTAAAATGATTTTTGAACAGAGATAAAAAACAAAAACTTTAGAATACTAAACCATTTTTAACAGAGATAAAACAAAAAGATTAGAAAACTATTTTTTTAATAAATGTTACATTAACTTAGTTAACATCTTTATTTAAAATCTTACTTTCACTTTTGTGTTCTTCATCATGGTCATGAAAGTGAGTCATAGATTTTAGTAATTCTAATCCATCTAATTTTCTGTTTTTATCATAATCATGCATGATAAAGTACTGTGTTTGAGCATCATACTCCTAGACATAATTAAAATAAATAACTGAATATGGGACAATGACTAAATGAAACAAAAATTTAAAGTAACTAAATTTTTTTTTTACTATTACTTTCAAAAAACATATAAGCAACATAACAGGTATATTACTTTCAAACAATATATAAGCAACATAACAGGTATATTACTTTCAAATAACATATAAGCAACATAACAGGTATATTACTTTGTTGATTTTTTTTTCCTGCTTTTTGAACTGATTAATTCTAATAAATCATCAAATATTTAATTTAACATTATAGTTAAATGATTGCAATTTTATAAAAAACAAATTTATGTTAACAGTTGTAGTGCTGATAAATGATAATTAATCATCATCATCATCATCATCATCATCATCATCATCATCATCATCATCATCATCATCATCATCATCATCATCATCATCATCATCATCATCATCATCATCATCATCATCATCATCATCATCATCATCATCATCAGTAGCATCATCATCATCATCAAAGTTAAAACATGTTATTGTCTTGAAATAAACACCCATCAATCTACAAAATCTTACTTTTAAGTACATGTCTGCTTTATTGCTATCAAAACCATATTGTTCCATGAGATGCTCTTTAATATGACTAAAAAGATTACAAGAACTATAAATGTGTTTTAATTTTTAATTTGATTTCTTATACACATATTAATGTAAAAAGAAACTTTATCATCAATCTGATATGGTTTTAAGTAATGCTAGAACTCCTGATGTTTGCGCGCTTCTAAAAATCAAGGATCAAAGCTTATTTCACTTCTAAATTTGGTTTAAATTTATATTTGTATTTTATATTGAAAATTAACTTTTTTGCTGATAATAGCTGTATTTTTTATGTTTAAAAATGATTTTTTTCTGATAATGCAAAAAAGCTAAAATTCAACTAGTTTGTACAAGTTTAAAAGTTAAAAACACATTTCACATAGATTGTAGTAAAATATTGTTTAAAATATTTATATAAATTATGGTGAAACATTGTTTATATATATATATATATATATATATATATATATATATATATATATATATATATATATATATATATATACACACACACAGGGTTTTAGCCAGCCTGATGGCACCACATATAACATGGTATTCCTAATTGTTTTAAAATTCCCAAAGGTTCAAAAGATCATAGTAAAAAAAAAAATTAAATCAGTCTTAGATTTAAAGTATAATGTAAAAAACGCAATTAGTATGCACGTTAAAGAAATGAGTTAAGTTGATCAATTATTTTTAAGAGTAAAAAAGCGTTGTCATTAACAAGCAAGATCATTTATTCAAAAGTTAAAAAAAACTATTTTATTTTTATTTTTAATTGACGTCAGTTATTTTCTTGTTAAGATTTTTTAATGTTAATTAAATAATTTTATTTATTTATTCTTATTATTCAAACATTCTTTATTCACATTTTTACTCATAGTGTAGTATAGTAGGCGATAGTAAAGTGGCGATTTATAAATTATTCAAAATTTTTTATTTGAAATTAGCATGATTTTGTAAGCGTATTATGTCCAAACAAAATCTTTAGATGTTTTTTTTTTAGGTCACACCTAAATTCCCAATTTCGGGGATATATATATATATATATATATATATATATATATATATATATATATATATATATATATATATATATATATATATATATATATATATATATATATATATATATATATATATATATATATATATATATATATATATATATATATATATATATATACTTTAAGTTTCATGCCTTATACAGCAACCATTAGCTATTAATATAAAACTATAAAATCAAAAACAAAAAAATCCACAAAAATTACAATATACAAAAATTATAAAAAATTATATAAAATCAAAAACAAAAAAATCCACAAAAATTACAATATATGTAGTGAGTTTTTTACACGGCTGAATAACAAACATGGTAGCAATCAAAAAAAAAAAAAAGATAATATGCTAATCTCTGGTTTCAAAAAAGAGATAAGAGAAATTTATTTTTGTGTCTACATTTTGAAATCGAGTTTTTCTATTATTTAATAGACTTTCACCTTCATATATTAAAATTAGTAATTTTTACATATAAGCAAATATTGCAGATTTTTGATGTTGTATGGATTGAAACATTTCACAATTTTTCACTTGATTGAGGGTGTAAACATTTTGTAAGATTTTGGGTGATTAGTATACCAAGATTTGAATTGAGTTTTAATACTTTTTTTGTATTCCGGTTTATTTGACAACAATGGCTTGATAGATGGTATTTATCAAGTGCGTTCATGGGGCAGATGGATTCGTTGACACAGTTGCACGTTTTTTTCTCAATTCTATCTTGATTATATAGTATTCTGTGATTGTGAAAATTAATGATAGACTTAATGTTTGGCATACACAAGTAGCTTATTTTAATTGTATTTTGATCTTGTGAAGTTTGTGGCAGACCGGAAAAAAAACAACTGCCACAGATAAAAAACAACTGCATATTTTTGTTGTAACATTAGTACTAAAAGGTGGGTTGTCCCAAATAATGTTTTGTTTGTAATTTTTCAATGGGTCTGGTTTTTTATTTGAACAGTGAGTTTGAAAATAAAACCTAATTTAATTAATACATCTTGATAAAGAGGAATAGATTTTTAAAAAATATTTTCATTTGAAGATTTGGTTGACAATCTTAGTTTGATAGTTTGAGTAAGACTTTTTAGCATGCTAGAAGGTTGGTTAGAGCCAGCATCAAAAATCAATAGTGATCTTAGAAAACCACTTTTGATCTTTGCCTCAGATAGCTCTGAAAATATGAAACAAGTTTCTTGGAAAGCTTCTCCTCCGAAATCTTTATGTATCCTCTTAACAAGTCAAACATGAAAGCAAGCATCTTGAAATCACCACAAACATCTTATTTGAATTCAGAATAATTAATTTTGTCAAGGAGTTCTTTAACATTATCAGTCTTTTTTCTTCTTCCAAATGTGCAAGAGGCAAAAAGCAACACTGTTTTGAGAAATCTGTTTTGAGCTATTTATGAACAGTCACCATTGTGTAGTATCACGCTCATGTCAAAGAGAAGTAAAAAAACCAGTCACATATTTACAATAACATAGATCATTACACAAGCCATAGTAAATTTTTAAACATTGTTTCTGGTAGACACATGTCTTGCAGCCTTCAGATAGTAGATTCCATTTTATCAGCCTCGATAAAAGAAGTTTAGCATCTAGTATAGTAAGACCTAAATTTCTGATTAAATAAAGCTCACTTTGAATTGAAAAGTTGTTATTGATTTCCTTAATTTCTTCCCTACTGTTACTTGCTGACTCTTGAGATGAAATATTAAATGCACCTTCCTTTTTAAAACAACATATAGCAACTTCAACTTATAAATAACAATAGCATTCAAAACTTCATCAATGCTTAACTAAATTAAATGCAAGACTTTTAGAGAGTATGATAAAAAGTATACTTACATTTTTGTTGTGGTTGTTGCACTGGTAGGCTGCCATCGTGTGGGACAGGTGCTGTAGATGATAGTATGTCTGGATATTGAAGAATTTGTATCCTATTAGCTTGTCTTCCTTTAGCTTTTCTTTACTTCATAATATTTATCATACAAAAGTAACACTCCTTATGATGTTAATTAGGCTATCTCTATTCTCTGGGAATGGCAAAAGCCAATGCCTTTTTGCTACCTTGTAACCATCCAGCTAGAATAGTTAGGCAGGTTCCACATAAAACATGAGGCCCACGGTTTGTCCCATGGGCAAATATTTTGTGCTTACTATCCACAAAATGATATCTTTTACGATCTTATGTAATCTTCTGCCAATATAATATACATAGCATGAGGAAAATTATAATATCCTCTAGTAGCCATTATAAAAAGAACATATCTTAACAGGTCTGCACAAATATGTATATAATGCATTAGATATCCTTTACGTGTGCATATTTAGAGTAGCTTAAGATATTTTTAAAATACTTAAAAACAAACTTTAAATACATATTTAATAACAGGCATGCCAAACATTTTTTATATGTTTTATGAAAGTTTTTACAATGCGGAAACAGGGAACCTGGTATCAATTAAAGTACCAATTAATTATGAATTTTTCTGTTTATAATATACATATCATTGTCACCACTACTTTTCTTTCCTCATCCAAACTTATAGGCTGCGAGCTATAGGCTACCAGTTTCCCATGAAATGTATTGAAACCTATAGGCTAACAGCTTCCCATGAAATGTATTGTGAGGCACTGGCATTGCTATGGCACTTGATTGCTGGTTGACGCTAAAAACGCTATAACTTTAAAACACAGAAACAAATACAGAAACATTTTTTACATTTTTAGAATTAACAGAGAAAATTAATCAAAAAACAATAAAAAATTTACAGTGGGCAAAAATTTTGTAAAAATTTGTAACAAGTGCATCTCCACCTTAAATATTGCTTTGTTGCAACATTATTGATAGTGAATTAGTTGGAAAAAATATATATTTCAATTTTCTCATTATTCTTGAACCTTTTTTTTTTTTGTCTATAATACTATTTAGTATATTATTTATCAACCAATGTCTGTTGTGAATAGAGAGCAAGCTAAAAATTAAAAGCATGCTTAACTGAAAAGAGAAGAGTACATGATGGAAAGGGGGAATTTTTCCAATGGCTAATAAATCGTGACAGTAGATAATGTCAAAAAAAAGATACCATAACATAACAGTGCATTATTAGAGAAAACAACTTTATTGTTGAAAAGGTATTTAAAAATTCTTTACAAAGAACATTATGTTAAATGTGTTATTTTAATACCCACTAATGGGTGTTAAAATAACACATTTAACATAATATTCTTGTAAATTAAATAAAGTAAATCACTAAATTTTTTTTTAGTCATTGAAAAAGTACTTGAAAGTTTACAGGTCAACAATAATGCTGATTAAGTTGATACTGAACATCTTTATGTAAAAAATAACTTTCAATTGTTAAGCAGCAAAACTTCTTCATTTTAAATGCTGTGTTATTATGTTATTTAGAGTAAGATCTTAAAGCTGGGCTATGCAATGAATGTTTGCTTTATTCAAAACAATTTATTCCAAATTGTTATTCCATATGAAATAATCCAGACCATGTCATTATTAAGTCTCATTTTTACATAACTTTCAACTAAAATTAAATAAATGATAACTAAGATAAATTTTAGCTAAAAAGGTAATTCCTGGAGGATTTTCCTAAAAGTTAGAACCAAATTTTATTAATACTATTATCTAGTCCAATATTATAAATAAACTTTATCTACTTGAAAACTACTATAAGGACACGATAGTCTTAAGAAATTGTTTATCCAAATTTATTCAAAATTAATTACAAACATGTAAAATACTAATTTTTGTATCTAAAATGGAGGCTGTCAACTAAAATCTCAGGGCAAATAGTTGTATATCATTCTTTTGTCTTAGGTCTACTGAAAAAAATTAGATTTATTCATTGTCTTTGTATTATTTGATCACTAAAAAACACCATCTTTTTAGTTTTTTGAAAAATATTGTGAAAGAGATTGAATGTCTTTAAAGCAATATTTTAAGTTAAAACTTATATACAGCATTATTTAATAACTGTTTTATATTTAGTCATGGGTATACAAAGATAAGGGGCAATTTTTTTCCCACCACTCTCCACAGATTTTTTTTATTACATAAAACTGAATTAATAGTGATAAATTATTTCTAATATGCAATATAGATAGAAAAAACTAATGTTGAAATTTCAAATTGTTTAGTTAGTATTTCAAGTAAAGTGTTTTATTACATTTGAATTCATTTTCATTATTTCAAATTGTTAAAAGCCTTAAGATTACTTTTAGAATAAACATTATGATGTTTTGAAAGTTTGAGTTAAGGGGATACCAAAGTGCCAAGATAAGTTGTTTTCATATTAAAGAGAAGGATAAAAAAAAGAAAAAATGTTTGGGCAGAATTTTTTAAAGTAAAACAAAATAATAATAAAGGTACACCAAGTAAAACAAATATGTTGGTTTACTCAAAACTTGTTGTCTCCATGTTAGCCAGTTCCCAAAAGATTGCAAACTATATGAATCAGGAAAGATGAAAGAAGTGAATTCCAAAGAACTGATGTTAAAGGAAAAAAACTAGAGGAATAAGAGTTTTTGGAGCACTTAGGAACAGTCACAGAAAATAGAAGTATTAAATTAAATGACAAGTAACATGAGAATGAATTTTAGTAGATCACACAAGAGACGCTAGCTCTTTAGAGCAGTGACCATAATAGTATTAGTAGAAAAGAGAAAGAGAAGCAACATTACAACGATGTGATAATGGTTGAAGGTTGGCTGCAAGAGCAGGTCCAACTATGTTTACAATGTGTTTTTGCACCTTGTCTAAAAGAGAAAGGGCATCATTAAAAGATCCGCCCCAGATATGGCAACAGTATTCCATACAAGGCCAGATTTGAGATTTATAGAGATAGAGAATAGAATCAAGAGTTAGAAAGTGTTGAGCTCGATAAAGAGATGCAACATTACCGCTCATAAATATAGGAAGGTAAATATAGAAATTATTGTGATAACAATTGGCTGAAAATAATTGAGTTTATCTGAATTAAAGTTCACCAGCCACTGTGAGCCCCATGCTGTAGCAGAAGTGAGATCCTTTTTAAGCTCAAATGCCCCCTCCAAGCAATTAGAGAGAGTTGACTTACTACCATGACAAGAATAAATGGTAGTATCATCAGCGAACAATACCACCTTAGATGTGAGAGTATCTGGAAGATCATTAATGTAAATCAAAAAGAGTATAGGGCCAAGGATTAAACCTTAAGTTGCCCCTGAGGTTACAGAATAAGAAGAAGAGTACTGTCCATCAAGGATAACTTTTATACTACAATTGGAAAGGAAGGATTAGATAATCTTAAAGATGTTTCCAAAAACACCGTAAGAAAAAAGCTTATGGAGAAGGCCAGCATGCGTGGGTGTTACATTTAGCAACAAAATTAGATAAGGCGAAGCACAAAAAAAAAAAAAAAAAAAAACAGTTTAAAGTCTACAATAAAAAGAATGAATTTCCGAAAAAGTTGTAAAACATAAAAAAATAAACTTACAATCACAAAAGTAATAACACTCTAGTAAATAACTGCATTATAAAAGTAATAACACTATAATAGTGTTATTACTTTTATAACACACTTATAACTTTTATAATTCATTCCTTGTTCAAACCCAAATTTTAATTGAAGTAGAAAAGCATCTAGAAAAATAGAGTGAATATTCAAATAATATTTAAAACTTAAACAACTTTATAAAAACGTACTGTATAAAAAGTTTAGCATTTTGAAAAATGCTAAACTTTTTAATTTTTTTTAATTTTAAAATCAACCAATAAAAACTTTTTTTGGTTGATTTTAAAATTAATGCACATTTTTACGGACTAATAGAACGTTTTTCATAACGCTAAACTTTTAAAAAAGTACGTTTTTATAAACTTGTTAAAGTGATTTGTAAAAGTTCCTGAAATTTTTAATAATATTTGAATATCTGCTTTATTTTTTCTAGATTTAATTTTCTACTTTAATTAAAGTTTGGAATTACTAATGTTGTTTGAACAAAGAATGAACTTTAAAAGTAATAAGTGCTTTATAAATGTAATAACACTACTATAGTTTTATTACTTTTATAATGCAGTTAGTGACTAAAGTGTTATTACTTTTGTAGTTGTAAGTTTATTGTTTTTGTTTTGTTTTTTGTAACTTTCTTACTAGCAAACTTTTAATAATTTGCTCCTTATAAACAAAGTACACAGTTTTGAACTAAAATTTTGAAGACCAGATATTTTTCCAGAGTTTGTCGATTGTAATAACTTAATTTAACCCTTGATATATACTTGTTACATTAAAATTATACAAATATATTTTACAAACAAATGACAATTTTATTTTTGTTTTCTTTTTTAAAAAAAAAGCAAATAAAATATAGAAAAATCATTTTTTTTTTAATGTTTAAAACATATTTTGTTTGTTTTTTGTTATTTTTTGCTTTGACTTACCAAATTTTGTTGCCGAAATTAACAACCACTATGAAGAAACAAAAATAAAAACAGTAGATAAATTATTCAAATTATTGTTATTATTATTTTTTATTTAAGTTTATTTTTATTTCTTATTTTTTTATTTTGCTTTCTTTGTTTTTAAAAGCTTTTTTCAACAAACCATATAATAAAACTTGCAAACAGCCATGACCAAGTTGCCTAAAATAAAATACTCATCCATGGACATACAAGACAAAAACTGCACACATTTCCTGGGAAGGCTTGACAATGGTTGTTCAATTGTTAGAAACAATATGGTCATCGTTTGGACTTCTTTCCAAAGTTCTCCTAGACAATTCTATGTCATTTAGATCTCAGACTATGCAAGCTATGACGTCAAAGCGGGAAATAAGACTTTATCGAGCTGTTGAAAAACCATCAGGAAATGGAATTTTTGAAAAAGCTTATCGGATGGTAAAAAGAAAAAATGCGTATACCAGTGTCTGTATTCTTAATCAACAACATTCCATCAAAACACAGCACACCTTTTGAAATCTATTGCCAACAATACAAATGCGTCTGAATTCCTGGAATCGATAAAGTCGAATCAACACTAAATTGCCTGGCTAAGTTTCAAGGATGGAAAGTTGGCAATAAAGTGTGGGTGAAGCCCAAGCATACGACGCTGTGTACACAGCAATGGTTAAAAGGAAGTATAGCGGCACTGCATAATGGTTTAACAGATGAAGTTGAAGTCAACAGACATACGTTGCCACAATATTTTTCTTATCTACAGCAATGTTTTGTAGACAAAAAAGAAGATATAACAACTGATGACAATTACAATTTGACACTGGTTAAACCTCCCGAAATAAAAATTAAAATACATCGTAATCGAAGATCCAAGTTCTAAAATAAATCTAAAATAAATTCCCTGGACAATGGCAAAGCTGACAATGGTATGGACTGCACTGATCAAAACTATCCAACAGATTGTGAGACAGAGTTACAGCCTGTTCGGTTTACTTGCTATGAGAGAAGAGTAGTTCCTGACCGAAAGTATCACGATTATGTATGAGCTGGGGGAGAAGCTGGTCAGAGAAGGAAATATTTTTCTGTGATCGAAGTAATTTTGAAGCAATGAATCAAAAAAGTAAATTTCTTGTTAAAAGATTTTAATTAGAAAAGTATAGTGATTACTTTGTTGTACTGAGGCTGCAAGGTGTTGGTCAGTTTTTAGGTAAACCATCAACCTACAATCATTTAATTTCTATAATTCTTTATTCCCTTATTATAATATAAAATCTTTGATATACACCCTTATTACGATAATATCCCGAATAATTGTTTTCAATATTCTACTAATTCTACCACTGATATGTAATACAGCAAGAGTATTAACTAAACAGTTTTACCATGCATTAGACTAAAATAATGACACATTGGTTGCCCTCAACATATCAAAAGCTTTAACAAAGTCTTTACCTCTCCATTAACCTCTCTTCATATAGTGATTATATGACATAATATTGAGATATTTAATTCTTTTTACTTTTTATAGAATTAATATCTCAATACCATGCTCAACATAATTCTGCAAGCAGCAAACTTGTTTGTCAATGTGTGTGCGTTTCAGAGTGATAGCAATAAGAGAGTTGAAACAAAATTAATTAAAAAAAGTGCAACAACAATAAAAGAAAAGTAACAATGAATCTGCTTTTTTTTTAAAAGAAAAAAAACTTACCTGAGGTCTTTTGCAAACTTTAAAGGATCATCTTTTGAGGAATTATCAGAAAATGTTTTTGAAATAAGTATACTCCACCATGATAAGACTAACAGCACTAATGTAGATCTTTGCATTTTAATAAAAGGTTCTAAATTACCAAATATATGTATATGAATATATATATATATATATATATATATATATATATATATATATATATATATATATATATATATATATAAATATATAAAATAATATTATCAATACCAAAATATATTTAAAAAAAAAAGTTTATACGCAGCCTTATTAATCAAACTCTTTATATATATATATATATATATATATATATATATATATATATATATATATATATATATATATATATATATATATATATATATTTATATATATATATATATATATATATATATATATATATATATATATATATATATATATATATACATATATATATATATATATATATATATATATATATATATATATATATATATAATAATATTATTAATATTTAATATATATATATATAAATATATAAAATAATATTATTAATACCAAAATATATTAAAAAAAAAAGTTTATATGCAGCCTTATTAATCAAACTCTTTATATATATATATATATATATATATATATATATATATATATATATATATATATATATATATATATATATATATATATATATATATATATATATATATATATATATATATATATATATATATATATATATATATATATATATACACACATATATATAAAATAATATTATTAATACCAAAATATATTAAAAAAAAAAAGTTTATATGCAGCCTTATTAATGAAACTCATTATAAAAAAAAAAAAATATATATATATATATATATATATATATATATATATATATATATATATATATAATATTTCATTTCATTGTAATGACTTTGCAAATGGGAAAAAAAATAATTGAAAAGATTGAATAAAAAAATAGTACTGTTGAAGGTTGCCAGATATTCTGTTTTTACGAAGGAAAACACAGTAAAAAAATTATTTTTACAGGTTTGGCGCTGTATTCTCCTCCATAAAAGCTGGAAGTCTGGCAACTGTTTGTTGAGATGTTAATGTTTGTTGTTGTTTAATGCTCTTTACAACACACAATAATTTCAAATAATAATAAAATAAGAACTTCAATCTCTGAAGTTAAAGAAGAAAAACTAGCACACATTATAACTCTTGCTTATTAAAATTTCAAAATTCATTTCAAAAACAGCTAATGCTATTTATTTAATAATAATGTTATTAACTCTTGTTTGCAGATACAATTTAAACTGAATATTCAATAAAAAGAAAACTTTTTATGAAACACAACTGTTAAGATTACTGTCAACAAGATTTTTACTAAATCATATAAAAAGAGATTTTTACTACATTTTTTTTTACTTTTTTTATATTTGCATTTACTCCCAACAAGGCTGCAAGCAACCACTATTAAGTTGGGAGTTACTAGGAAAAAAAAAGAACAGAGTTATAGAGCAAGGAAACGGTTGACAGAAGACTTGAAAAATTGAAGGTTGTATGAGTCAAGAAAACATGAAGATGGGAGAGAGTTCCAAAGGATTGAAGTGCGGGGAAAAAAACTAGATGAATAAAAGTTTTTAGAGCATGCAGGGACAGATACAGTAAAGGAATGAGACTTAGCTGAAAGACGAGTAAAACGAGAATGAATTTTAGTTGATGGAACTAGAGATGATAACTCCTTTGAGCAGTGACCATGATAGTATTTGTAGAAAAGAGAAAGAGATACAACTTTACGACGATGGGAAAGAGGTTCAAGCTTAGCAGATAGTCCAGGTCCAACAACATTTACAATGCGTTTTTGGACCTTGTCAAGAAGAGAAAGTGAATCGTTAGAAGAACCAGCCCAAATATGACAACAGTATTCCATACAGGGTTGAATAAGAGATTTGTAGAGGTAGAGAATGGAATCAGAAGTAAGGAAATGGCGAGCGCGATAAAGAGAAGCAACTTTAGCAGAAGCTAATTTAGCAATCGATTGTATATATGGTTTCCATGAAAGGTCAGTAGTAAGTGATAATCCAAGAAGACATAAAGAGGAGGACTCAGTAAGAGGATTGCCATTCATTAATATAGGAATGTTCACCATATTACGGTAGTTGTTTGCAGTAAGCAACTGGGTTTTTTTATAGTGGTAATTCACAAGCCACTGTGAACCCCAATCTATTACTGAAGTGAGATCGGATTCAAGATCAGCTGCTTGTTCTAGGCGATCGAAAAGAGAAGACTTTTTGTCAAGACAGGAGTATAAAGTTGAGTCATCAGCAAAAAGAGCTACTTTAGATAAAAGGTTGTCAGGAAGATCGTTTATGTAGATAAGAAACAAAACAGGACCCAGGATGGAACCTTGGGGAACCCCAGAAGTTACTGGAAATAAAGAAAAGTGTTGGCCTTCAAGGATGACTTTAATAAACCAGTTAGAAAGAAATGATTTGATAATCTCAAAAACTTTTCCAGAAACACCATATGAAGCAAGCTTATGGAAAAGACCAGCATGCCAAACTTTGTAGAAAGCTTTAGATATGTTGAGAGCAATAGCCTTTTAATAATCCTATTATAAAAAACAAAAGCGAAAAACGTGATATTAGTAATTTTAATAAAATAATAAAGTAAAAACTTCAATCATTTATAAAAAGACTTTCACCATAGGTAAAATGAAAAAAATTTAAATAAGTGAAGCAAAAAAACTTAAGAGAAATATAACATTACATATAAAATATTTTTCAACGAAGCAAATTAGAAATCAAAAAAACAAATCGGTTTAGAGATTCACAATAAAATACTGGTTTCTATTAACATAAAATAAATCATTGAAAGTTTATAGATGATTTAAGTAAACCAAAGTTTCAAAATAAATCAGTAACTTCTGCCAATAAAGCATAAAAATTTGTAAAAAGCCACCTGAGCTTGGTTGTAGCTAATGCAACTATAAACAACCTGCATGATAGAGAGAAGAGAAAAAGAAATTTAACTGTGTTCGGAATTTCAGATCCAACCCAAACAGATCTGACAACTAGGAGAAATGAAGATGAAAAAATGATAGAAAATATTTTTGATTTTATTGGCAAATCAGAAAGTAAACCAGTTTATAATAGAAGATTTCTAATAATAACTGCCCCTGAACTAAAATTTAATAACGTTTCTAGCAATAGTAAACATACGTCTGTTCTCTGGAGAATTGATTGGAAATTGCAGCGATACAATGTGAGGTAAACCAAGGAGAAAAGTGAGGCTTAACTTAGAATTGTCAAGAGGAAATAAAAGATTCCATGCCAGCCTGAATCCAAGAAGTTATGTAAGAAGCACATTTATCAGCAGGAAGACGAAAGATTTCTAACCATGGGCAATCACAAAGAAAATCAGGAAAAGAGTCCCAGTCAGCTGTCAGGTAGTTGTAAGAGGTATGATGATAGGGGATTCTGATGATGAAGAAGAATGAGATAATAGTTTTGGAGAGATCAAACCAAGATCAGAAGTACCCAAGGGTGAATGTGGAGAAACTCTCAACTGACTAGGAACAGAAACAAGACATAAGTGGAGTAGACAAAGTAAATGATTTGGGTTGTCTGGAAAACAAGTTGAAAAGTTGATTATTTAACTTAGAGATTAGGAAAGACAAAAATTGTGGGCCTTAATGTTTGCAGAGTCACTGATATTAGAGCCATGCCATTCAGTGTTATGAGCATTAAAGTCACTAACAACAACAATATTGGTTGATGGATAAAGAGAGAGGGATTGGTCAATTTGATCAGAAATAACATTTTGATCAGAGTACAGTCTTGAGATAAAGGAGAGTGATATAGAAAAATTAGGAAGACGATTGAGTAAAGTGGTGATAACGAAAACACATAGAGAAATAGTCTGTGGTTTCAAATCTAGTTTCCCAACAAATAGGTGAATTCTAAAATGCATAGGCCAAACATGTGACTATTGGAGTCTTGAAAAACTAAAGGAAGATAACTATCAACACTAACTATCACAAGACGAGACAGCCAAAATCAAATTAGTCTCACAAAAAGCAAGTAGGTCTGGAGAACTTTGCAAGGCTCAACAGAAGAAATATTACTTCGAAGACCATGAATATTAGTGAATGATAGGTTTAGGAACTTGGTGATGACAATGGTTTTTTTGTGTTTTAAAAATTTTGGTACTTTAGTCATTTTAAAATTTGTTAAAGAACTTGACTCAAAGCATAGATAGTACTCAGTACACTATTTAAGAGCCCAAGCAATTGCCTCATTACTATTAATAAACCCTAAGCCATAACAAAAGGCTCCAAATGTGACCTCTGTAATATTCTGAGGATAATGTTAGACTAAGAATTAAATACAACATAAAGTTTAAAGCGTGCAGAAGACCATATTTATTTCAAGTAATAATAATAACACGAGGCATGTGTGTATTATGCCAAACACGGATATTACAGCCTTGACAATGCACACCAAAAGTACGAACAGGGACACCACCCATATGAAAAATGGCACTGTTAGTACTCTGATATTTTATACCTGTTGATGGACTACCAGCTGGAAACTGGTAGTCCATCAACTACCAGTTTCCAGTCAAAACCTTAAAACTGAGATTTAGAGCTGTACCCTCATTAGTAGATAATAGAATAAGTTACCTAGACACAAGCAAAACCCATGCATTAAGTCAAGAAGATCCAGCATTCCACATCATAAACTGGAAACGATGTATTATATATACATCTGCCATAGCATATCAGATGAACAAAGGGTGCAAGACTGGTCAACAGATAAAATCTGTTTACCCCTTAAGTTCTTGCCTAGTAGGTCTTCTACAAGACAGTAACCGGATGCGTTTAACATCTGCCCAAGATGAGTATTTTTATCAAGTCTCTATCCTTTACACAACCAAGATTTTTAACCACTGCTTACCTACTCATGTGTCTTGCCTTTGCTTTTTTGTTTCACAATTTTAAATTTTAAATATTTAATATACTCAAGCATCTTTAGCTTAATATATGCTAATTTAAGCATATATTAGCATATATTAGCTTAATATATGCTAATTTAACCATCCTAGTGTTCACTTTAACCCCCTAGTTAACATGTATAATTTGTATGTGTGTTGGAAAGAGTTTTATTTTTACAACTTTAACAAAGAAAATAATGATTGATTAAATAAAATTTATTTTGCATGTAAGATTAAATAATATTTAAATTAAACTACATGTAAGTGCTAAATGTGATTGTGTATCTTGTTTGTTGTAGATAATTGATAAAATGGCTATTTGCTCTCATTGCAAATGTAAAAATGAGAGAAACAAAATTTGTTATATACGAACATACTGTGAAAAAAACTACTATAAATAAACATATTCTGTATGCTGCTTATTTTGTTAAAAAATGTAGATGCGGCTACATTGGTACAAAAATGAGCAGAGTATTGTTGCACTAGCTGTAATTCATAATAAGGCAATTGGTTAAATACTGGCTACCCTATGCTATTTGGTACTCCTATAATTTGGTGAGAGACACAAAATCTTTTCAATGATTGTTATGTTAGTTGGAATCGTAACTGGCCTACAAGAAGAATACATTAATTTCTAATGTTTCTTATGCCGTTGTATATAACGAGCAAGACATAGCCACTAAAAAAAGAAAGATGTATAGATAGTCTAAGCAAAATTATTCTACTGTTGGACTAAGAATGCTAAATTTGTCTTGTTTATTTATCTTTCTATTTTATTGTATTTATTTTTTTAATTTTTTTTTTTTGCTCTACTTATTTCATTTTTATTTAACTTCACCCTTAGTGAAATCTACATATGCCTTTTATACTTGATTAAAGCTGTTATTTTATTATTAATTTCTATTGCCCTTTTTTTTATCTTGATACTTGTTTCACCAAACAATATTGCCCCTTTACAAAATTAGGCCTCATTAAACAAATCAAATTGTTATCTGATATCTCAAAACTTAAATAGAGGTTGTTTGTACCCTTGTTGGGAGTGAATTAATTTTTAAAAAAATCAACTTAAAACTTAAATGAAAAAAATCTGAGTTGTAGAGTTGAGAAAGTTGCGTTTTAAACTTTTTTTTTAAAGATTTTTATTAAATTTTGTGAATTACATTTAGCGACTCAAGGTACTTTAGTTTTAACGAAAAAATATAGCTGTTGTAAATACATATTGTAAAAAAAATAACAAATAAGAGCAATTAAAAATTTAAATTAAGTAAAAAATAAAAAGTAATAATCATACCCTTATATCTTTCTTAATTCCAATATCATGCTTTGCAAAAATTTTAAAAACTAATACTAATTTTTCAAAAAATCCTTTAAAGTATAATAATGTTTAATATAATGTATAGTGTTTTATTGTATATTTAATATGCAAATGTAATAATCTTCCAAAAAAGGGCAAGAAATAAAACTACCCTTGCACAACAATTTCTTTATTTCCAATATAAAATAAACTTTGCAAGTTACACACAAAAAATATATGGTTGCAGTAATAATTATTTTAGATAACAACCACTGCTGTATTATGCAAAACAGCAGTAGGTATTGTCAAAAAAAATTATTACTGCAACCGAATCTTGTGCAACAATGTTGTACAAGAAAAGTTTTGAGATTTAAACAAGTTTCCACTTAAAAAAATCTACAGTAACATAACATAGTTTTTATATAACTATTTAAAAACATTTCTAGCACTACTGGAAATCAGCATTAAACATATCTGTTTAAAGATATATAATACTTAATGTACAAGCAATCAATTAAGCATAATAATTCATAATATTTTGCTTATGCAACAATTTTAAAATAAAAAAAAATTAATAATTTATTATTAGATTCATATTTACCTAAAACACCATATATAATTAGAATTTACTATAAACTCCATGTTTAAAACATTTTCTTAAACAATTTCTTAAATGTGAAAACATTTTTCATACTTTAGTGCACTTGTTCTTTCATCATGAAGATAATTGTAAAAGTAACTTGTTTTTTGAAATTTAACTTAACTGAGTTGCTACTTTTAAAAGTTTCATCAACTTTATTAAGTTACTTTTTCAAAAAATTAAGCCATTTTACCAAATTCCCTTTTCAAGAAGCTTTAGTAACTTGAATTTTCTTATTTTTATAAAATTATAAAACCATTTTGTCATAACAGCTACAAATATTTAAAATTTACACAGTTATCTACTCAAGGAATAAACTTAAAAACTTTTATTTTGTTGAACATAAAATTTAATATCTATTTGTAACAAATGGTTTTTTTTTTTACTAACAATTAAAAGTAACTCATTATATTACAAATTAATTTTATTAACAAATATATATATATATATATATATATATATATATATATATATATATATATATATATATATATATATATATATATATATATATATATATATATATATATATATATATATATATATATGCACTGTATACAACATTTGGATTATTAAAGATTTTTGAAAACATTTTTCAATCAAATAGTGATTTAGCATTTCCAACTGTGTCAATAAAGCTTAAAACGGATTTGAAAATTATACAATATGCAACTAGTTACTATGGAGGCTTGAAACATTTATCATTCTAAACATACCCATAACATTAGAGTAAAATTGTGCTAAACTAGACTTTTTTTTTCTCTAAAATTTTTGAGCATAGTTTTGAATCCCAAAAATTTTTCCAAATTATTCCGATTTCGTACAGAAGTTTTCGCTCATTCGGAATCGCTTTAAGAGATTAGATTACTTTAAAAGTTTTTAGGAATGATTTTTATGAGCGCTTTTAAGCTTCAAAAAAAATTAGAATATGTTTATTAAAAATTAATTGAAAATAAAAAAAAAAAAAAAAAAAAAAACATGCAATTATTTCAAAAAAACAAAAATCATTTTTCATCATAATTTCTTTAAAATTCGACTTTATTGTGGCAAAACAAGGAAGTTTCTACATTTTTGTTTTATTCTTTTTTTAATCATTTTTGTTGATAAAAAAAATTTCGACTACGTATCACCCAACTTCGTCACCGTTTGATTTCGACTGTTTTGCATTTCGACAGCGTTAAGAATACTTTAATATTTATATATTTAAGAATATTTTAATAGGATTTAAAAAGAGAGAAAATGGAGGTAAAAGCATCAAAAAAAGCCCAACATGTACAATTTCATCTTGAACAATAGCAGTCTTATTAAAACGAACATTACCTAAAATTAGGATAGCTCTAACAATTTCATTAACAGCTGATTGTGCTAATACTAGACGAATAAAATATAAAAAGCTTTCTTTATTAAATGCTCTTATTTATGCTTCATATTTCAAAATTCTATTAGGGCCGCCAGAGGAGGGGGAATACATTTTACCTAGACACACGGGCAAAGGTGACCCTTACATGTGACCCTTAATAAAAGATTTTATTAGAATTATTAATAATCATAAAGAGTACTACCCCTTAAAGAAATTTAAAACAGAATCTAAAAGACTCTTACAATTAGAATTACAACAGACTTTAAATATTTATTATTCTAAATTTAATTCAAAATAGAAAGAAAAAAAAAAGCGTTGTTATCATCACTAAATGAATATATCTTATTAAACATTAATATAGAAAATGTATAAGCATTAATATTATATTAATGTATATTACATACATATATATTAATAATATATATGTATGTTTATATTACTTTTATTTTTAACTAGTAGAAATATACTATAGCTTCACGTTCTTTTAAAATACATTTTTAGCATTTTACAAAATTTATATGTATTTTAAAACGAATTATGTATATATTTGCTTTTGTAAAAAATCAGACAATAAAAAAGATAAATATTGTTTTTAAAAAAAGTCACCAATAAATCATAATCACCAATAAATCATAATCAAGTCAATAATCTTATGAATTAATTTAAAACAAACAATTAAATCAAGAGAAAATATTTACAAAAAGATAAACAGAATTTCGAACTAAAAAAAAAAAAAGAACTCTTACGTAAAACAGTAAAAAAAAAAAAAAAAAAAAAAGAAAAAAAAAGAAAGAAAAAAGTTAACCAATAAAAAGAAACAAAAAAAGAAAAGAAGAAAGAAAAATAAACTACAAACGATGAATAAGAAGATTGGTTGTTTTATACTTATTTTTTAACGATTTAATTTGTAATGATATATTATATATATAATTTTTTGTCTTTCTAATTTTATTATTATTAACTTTCTTGAATTATATTATTTTTGTTTTTTTCTTGTAATGATATTTTAATATTTTAATTTTGTAAGTTCTGCAATAACCCAGCAAACATGTCAGCGTTGAATCAACGTTGAAAACCGGTCGCAAAAGATGATGCGGAAACGTTGACAAAGTAATCGATTTTGCAAAGATATGTAATGCTGTTTAAGAGACGTCGATTAAACGTTGTAGCAAAAATGTCGCAACTAAACGTTGAAAAAGTGTAACTTAAAAAGAGTTGCCTAAGCGTCACAATTTAACGTTTAAAAAAAGTTACTTGGAAAGCGTTACTGTAACGTTGTTAAAGCAGTCGATTTTGCAAGGATTCTTAACGTTGGCAGTAAAACGTCGATTTAACGTGACTCAAAGACGTTGAGTAAAGGTTGAAATATAACGTTGAATCAACGCTTATATGCGCTGGATAAAATATCGCAAAATGTTATTAAATGTAATTAAACTTGGCTATGATATATATTGAATTGTCAAATAAAACTAAATTGTATGTTGAGCTCTGTACTTGTAAAATTTCTAAAATCGATTTATAATCCAAACAGTAATATGCAATCAAAAATTTAAAAATATACAATTTATTTATATAAAATATACAATTTATAGATATATAGATAAAAATATTAACATTTTTTTAAAGGTTTATGTGTGTGAGTGGATTTACAGGATATCGTATCGATAGGTCAGGATATCATTGAGATACAGTATCTAAATCAAAAAATAAAACTTGTAAAAACATTTATATATATATATATATTAAAACATTTATATATATATATATATATAAATATATATATATATATATATATATATATATATATATATATATATATATATATATATATATATATATATATATATATATACATATATATATATATATATATATATATATATATATATATATATATATATATATATATATATATATATTATATATATATATATATATATATATATATATATATATATATATATATATATATATATATATATATATATATATATATATAGAGAGAGAGAGAGAGAGAGAGAGAGAGAGAGAGAGAAAGAGAGAGAGAGAGAGAGAGATCTACGTAATAGCATAAAATAAGTAACCATTTCTAAAAATAATACGATGTTTTTTATTCTTAAAACATTTTGTAGTAAACGACCACGGTTAATATTTGATCGGGGCCAGGTTTGATAAAAAATAGTCGAGGCCGGGTATGTGACCAGTGCTGCATAAACATTTATACATCCTAAAGTACATTATTTTAAACTAAAAATTCATTTTATATTTTGTATATGTATGCATATACATATACATGATCATCATAATCATCATTATCATCAACAGCATAAAAGCAAAAAGCAAAAAGCTTGACAATGATAAGGAAAATTATGATGATGATCATCATCATCATCATAATCATGATCATCATCATCATCTCCATTATCTTTACCATAAACATTAGGCTTTAGCCTTACTCATTTAAGCTGTTTCCCTAATATAAACAATCTAGTACACTTTTATTCCTAACTAAAGCTCATTTATACAATATGTAAGGTAAACTCTTCAAATTTTCTTACTTTTACCACAATCATTTTATACTGAAGTTGCTACCACTCTACATGTTGATACCTAAATTACATAAACCTTTTCTAAAAAAAATCTCTCCAAGATTATGCCTCTCTTTTATGTCTTGTTAGAGTCACACCACGCATCCATCTGATCATCTTCACTTTTGGCAAATACAACACCATATAAATAACTAAAGTTTATATAGCAATGAAAGGATATTGTATGCCAGAATCTAAACAAATAGCAAACAGATATGATTATATCCGTAATGTGTGTGCAAAAAGTGCATCTTGGAGACTGATATTGCTTCTGGAATAAAAGTTTGGAATCTTTTATTACTGCTCTTCAGTTTTAAGTCAAGCCACATTCTGCTCTACATCTTTCAACATTAATCACTTTTTTCATCTTTTTTATAATAACATCTCTCTTAAGAACAAATTATCCTTTTTATTTTTACAATAAGCAAATGTATAAATAAAGTCTTGTCTGATGTATATCTCTGTTATTCTCAATTTACTAAACCTTTTACCTTTTCTTACATGTTAGGTTCTACAGACATTTGGTTAGATTTCAACAGTTTTATTAACTCAAGTAAGTCTAATGTTTATTCTCTAAATCATGAGTCTGATCTTTTTACTTTACCCCAGAATAAAGCAGAGCTATTTACAAAGAAATCTTACTATCGTTTTCTCTCGAATATAATGGACATACTCTTCCTGACAGTTAAACAGAATAATCCATTGTTAAGCATCTAAATTACTCTGGCTTGCAATACTAAAATTAATTATCAATTAAACACTTCTACCATTTGTGCTTCAGACAAGATTTCCATCATAGTCTTAAAAAAGTGTTCTTCAGAGCTCTCAACAATTTTTGCTAAACTTTTAAAAAATGCTAAATACATTACTAAATTACTCTTCACTCTGTTATCAGTTTCTTATAATTTTACATGTAAAGGTTTTGAGGTTATTAAGTTATTTCTTTCTAACTGCAGTAGTAAAGTTATTCTTGAAGGCCTACCGTCTTCTTTATTTTAAGTAACTTTAAGAGAACCACAAGGTTCTATATTTGCTCCTGTAATATTTTTTTATTTGCAATAACAATCATAATGAAATCTAAAGTGACTAAATTTGCTGATGAATCCACTTTAAACTCATTTCTTGACAAAAAAATCCTCTTTAATTGCTTAGAACAAGCAGCCAATTTTAAATCTGACCTCTCTTCTGAAACAGCCTAAGGCTTGCTGTGGCTAATGGAGTTTAATTCTGGACTTAAAATCTACAATTTTTGTTAGACAACAAAACTCATTTATCAACTGCAAAAAAATATTACAATATTGTTGGCATTCCTATATTGACAAATAACAACCCTCTTACTCTCAGACAAAGTCTAAAATCACATTGTAAATGTAATAAGATCAGCTTTATTTGCCAAGGTTGGGCCACTCTCCAATTGTTATAAGGTTGCATTTCTTTCTTTTTTCTACAAATACAATCATAGTCAATGCTCAAACAAACTATCATCTCTATAATGATAAACCAAAACTCATTCTCAATTGGCCATTTATTCAACAAGTTGCATCCTTTAACTGCATTTGTCTTTTAATGCTATAAAATAATTTTACAGCATGATAAATAATTCAATTTTTTTTCCTTGAACATCAAAAAAATCTTATAACTATTACAAAACTTCATATTTTCCTTTTTTATATAACTTACAACTTTTTATGTTTTTAGTTATAGGTTTCCTAGTATTTTAACTGGTTCTTTATTTGAAAGTAACTCATTACTTAATAGTGGTTGCTTGCAATCTTGTTGGAAGTAAATTAGATTTTAAAATATATAAAAATATGCCAGTATTTATTAAATAGTAAATGCAAGCATAAAATTATAATATATTAAGTATTATAAATTTTTTTCTAGCCTCGGCCCAAAAAAAAAAAGAAAAATG